TGGACCTGAGTCAAATGACAGAAAGAGTATGAGAGGAATATAGAAGTCTAAAAGAGGTATTTTGGAGAATGTTGAAGGTGTTTAGAGTTGGGTGTATTTCGATAGACCTATGAATGTTTTTGGCATAATCTCAAAAATCTATCTTCAAGATAGTGTTAAAATTGTTATTAAAACTCACTGAAGGAATTCATCTTGATATTTAAACCTTTATAACTCATCCATTCTGTATTGGGAATGAGACACTTCAGTGTTACATATGTCAGTGTTAAGAGTGTTCAGCCAGAAGCCTATTTTACTAGAAAAGAGAATCTTTGTGCATTTGTGAAGTCATTTTAGGGAAATTTTCATATTTTATACTAATGTTTTAGGTATGTTTTTTCCTGACTTATTTAATCAGGACTTTTTAACATATTATTAAAATAATTTAAATTAAAAATTAATTAACATAAGAGCAAGATGTAGTTTTATATAATAAAACTGTAATAGTTTTTTTTACTGTAATGGTTTTTATATAAAAACAGAAGGTATAATAAGTTTCGTAAGTTAAAATACCTACTTTTTAACTAGGCATCTTTTTTCATATATCAGTTAGGAAATTGTTTCTAATTTTAGTGTTTACTTCACATTTGATGAAAGACCTCACTCTCTTAGTCAAACTATTTGTCTTAAAAAAGGCTAAATACATTGTTGGCCTTTGGGAGACTGACCAGTTCATCAATGCTTCCCTTTCTCTTTTGCTTTAACTCTGAAAACACTATTTCATCGTCTTAAGTGGAATTTATGTAGCAAACTGAGAGGCAGTGAGTTTGAATATTATGGCACTATTATACCACTTTAATTTAAATAGCTTAAAAAATTAATAACAAATAATTGTAAAACACCGTACAGAATCAGAATTAATTAATAAGTTCTTTTGCCAGTGTTAGATTTAATATTCAAATTGACCATTGTTTTGTTTTCCAGATTTTTCTGACAAGTTACATAACCTTTTAAAACAAAATCTGTTACCAATTTAAAGAATAAATGCAATGCACAATATTTTTGAGTCTATATATTTCTTTTTACTTAAATAAAAAAGTAGTTTATTGTGCAAAGTTGACCTTTTGTGGGAATATAAATAAAGTAAAGTGGATTCTCCTGGGATCAATAAGGAAGGGAGACCAATGCAGAAAGAATGGTTGTGATTTCAAGAGCACATTTTTATGTTAAATGTGGTTGAGAAAGAATGAAAGTAGTATTGAAAAATGGTTTCAAATAATTACTGTTGAAATCAAACCTTTCTTTTTTTATTAGATCTTTGAAATAAGAGAATGGTGAGACAGAAATAAAAACTTCAAATGAAAATTTAAATGTGTCAAATTAGTTTTTAAGTATTCTACATTTCTTCTATTGTTATGAGTAGGTCTATCAAAATATTACTTTGAAACCAAAACAGTTTTGAGCCAAAATCTAATAAAATCTGTTGTATTTTTGTTACCATGTCATTTTGTGGTGTTTCAAAGGAAATGGAGTATCTTTATCCTAATCTATAATAGTAAATTATTTTAGAAATTTGGCTTGACATACAAACAGATGTGTTTTCTTGAGTCCTTTTAAACTGAGGGTTAGTGGTTTGTGGTTTATTGTTCCTGTGATTGGCATTAAAAGCTTTATTTCACAGCTTGCAGTGAGGGACTATAGGGTAGAGAGTGGCTGTGTTCCACAAACTAAATTCAAAAAGTGTCAATCAAGGTCTCACATAGGTTGCTTAGAGAATGAGTTTTCTTACTGATTTCACCAAATGTCGCCTCATGCTGTCTTTGATTGGCACAGCCTGGCAGGGAGGATGGATGAATCTGTCACCGACTGGTTAATTGTGTTGCTGGTCTGAGTCTGACATCAGGTCTTTGACTCTTAAGTGGCTCAATACAAAACAAATTAGCAGATTGTAGTCATATTTCTCATTCTATATGCTTTGACTTTGTTGAATGCAGTCCATAAATCATATTGACTGACACACAAGTAAATGATGAAAGCTGCTTTTGAGACATGGATCTAGAAAGCAGCACTGTGAAGGTGCCATGGAAGGATGCATATGGTTGACCCTTTGGGAATTTCCTAGGAGCCAAATGTCTCCTTACCACAATTGTTCTTAGAAGAAAAGCTTTGGGGTAATGCAAAAAGGATCTAATATGTCAGCAGATTCTCTTTTACAAGTTCCTTTGAAATCTAAGAAGTTTGTCTAAGGGTTTTCTCTCTTTGCAAGTTGTTTTTCAGCAAAATGTTAGAGGAGGGTAAAAAAGGAGTTACCTTTAAAAGTTTGGCAGGTGTTTTTACTTATTGAACTTTGTGTTAAAGAGAAAGAAAATGTTAATAGTAGTTGCAATTAATTTTTCAGATGAAGGCTGCAGAAATTCCTACGTGCTTGAAATTTATTCATTATTTTGGCTTTGTTAAAAAACAGCATTTCTAATGAAAAAGGCTAGTTTTTAAAGATAGTTGCAAACGCACTTAGATTACTTTTCTATAAAATGATAATATTAAGAATGTCCACAATAATAGTAATAATAATGTTCAGAAAGGGGTGTTCTGGTTATACTAAAGTGTGCCAAGGGCTATAGGCATCAGAAATGAATTGCCGAAGGTGTTTTTTGGATTAGCAAATATTTGAAACTTAAAAATGTTCTCTCTAAATATAAGTCATAGATGAACTTAAGGATATTTGTGCATATTTTATAGATAGGAAGTAAACATGTTAAAAATGTATTATTTTATAGAATATAACTTTTTAAATATTTAAAGAATTCAAACCTTTGATAGTAACTTTAATTTGGGGCTTTAGAAAGACTTTATTTCATTTGAAAAACATTTTTTTCATTTGAAAATTCATAAAATATAAGAAATATTTTAATCTTATATCTTTGAGAACAATAAGCCTGTATTTAATATGCATTTCAGAAGAAATTTGGTGTTAGGGTTTTATTATCATATATGTTGTTTAAGCAAAAAGCTAAATTTGCTCGCGCACACATGTATATGTGTGTGTGTGTGTGTTTTCATTACCTATTTCCACCAAGATTATGGAACAGTCTGTATTTCTGTACTCTTACCATCATTTTTGGCTCCAGTACTGTGGTTATATAGTCACTTCTAGCATCTGAACCCATGTTGAATTTTAAAGATCACCTTAAAATTATATTACTAAAATTGTGCAGTGTGTTTACTTTTGAAATGAATATAATAATAATTATAGGGGGCAATTTATTAATCTTTTGCAGTTGGTATATTACAGGGGCGCAACGTAAGTAGGACATGGAGCTGAATGGATGGAGTACATGAAACTAAAATGCAGTAGTTGTTCCATTAGGTCAAAATTACATTTCCATTAAGTATTTTTCAAGCCTACTATATGTAATTAAATGACATGTCATTGATTTCTCCTTTTTCTATGTTTTTGTTCCCCTCCCATTCATATTGATATGGTGCTTGAGGAATGGAGCTGCATGTCTCCCAGACTAATTCCTCTTGGGTTTGAGGGATCTTGAAGCATGCTGGGTTTTGCATTGTTTGTTACATTCTTTTTTGGCAGTTCATCAGTATCTGTCAAATATATTGTTTGCATTGGCTTTTATCTCTAAAGTTTTTGATTAAGAAATTAAGATTCCATTTCAGATAGTTTTTCACTGCTAAGTTTCTGAATGCTAAAGACATATTCATAAAAGCTGCTTCATTTCTAGTCTGACTTTAAATGTGTAGTTTAATGAACAAACGTTCTAATAAACATCTTAAAATATAGTTATGTTCTTTTCTAACAGATCAACTCTGTAAACATTTCTGTACCAATTTAGTGAAACATTTATGTTTAGATTTTTACATCATTTTGTAGCTTTATTGGCCTTTTTGAAAGTAGTAAAAAACATAATTATCAAATAGCATTGAGTAAATATTTATTAATGCAAATGAGGCAAAACATGACACATTTTCCAAAAGTTATTATTTTTGACCATATTTATAGATCTTTGAATCCTATCACAGAAGTCAATCCATCACCAAGTCACATGGTTGTAGGTTGAAGAGAGCAATACTAGGAGCAGTGTTACACTAGAAAACTGTACATGAAAGAGTCTTTATAATATTTTAAACTTTTAATTGGAATACAGAATCCGTTTAGATTAACAGTTTATACTAAAAGTGATGTTGTGTGATTCAGCTTTGTAATCTAGAGACTAAATACTAGAAATTATAATTTTTAAGAAAATATAGCCTTAAGACTATCAGTGAAAATTTATGTAGTTTTTAGGAGCTTACTGTAGTATAAAATATTTTATAATGTTATATATAGTGAAAGAAAAACACAAGTATTTGTAGTTATTTAACCACATACTTCTAAATAATCAGATGATTTAAAAACTAAATGTAGATCTGTAGATGATTTTGAAATCATATTGGTAGGCAAGCTCCTCTCCCCTCCAGCTAATTGAAGCTATGCTACAAACCAGTGTTCTAACTAGAAGAACTTATGATTTAAAATATATTTTTAATTTTAGGTACAGTTTAAATGAAAATAAATTATATTGCTTATTAACTTTATTCTGACTTGATTATATAAAGCAGAGTTTAAAGAACATCATATGAATAAAATGTTCTGTCAATATAATTATTTTATGTCATAAATGTCATATTTTAACGTGCACTTTTAAAAATACTTGGGACATTTCAAGAGATCTAACATAATAATTCATGGATTTTTTACTTGTCTTTTGATTTTCCTGGGTACAATTAGAACTTTAATGATATTTATGTTCTAAGAAGGACAGGTAAACAAGAATATAATTTTTAATTCTTATGCTAAAAAGTATAGCTGCTTAGAATACAGAAATAGAAAGGCCAGTTGATCACTGTTGTACCCCCAAGAAGACAATAAAAAGAATGTCAGATATATAATTTTTCTGATACTTTGTGGTGTATTTCTATGTTTGTTTATTTATTTATGTTTTGGTTTTAATATTTGTTTTAAACAGGGGAAAGTTGCTCAGACTGCTTGCATGTCAGCCTGCCAGCATCTGTCAACATCCTTAATGCAGATGCTATTGGACAGTGAGTTAAAACAGATAAGCATGGGAGCTGTTCAGCAGTTTAATTTAGATGTCATACAGTGTGAATGTAAGTACCTTATTAAATCTCATGCATTTCTAGGAATCTATATTTAAATTATGTGGGAAAAAAATGGCACATAAAAGGATGACTCAGAAAAGAGGGAAAAGACCTGAATCAGTGAAATTTTCAGCCTTTGAAGCAGTTTCTTTCAAGAAAAATATCTCAGTTTCAGTTTAAGGGCTCTAGCACTCCAGAAGCACTGAAGTGGTTCTATACAGACTAGGATAATTGAAAAGATGATTCATTTTTCTCCTTATTCCTTTTTCTGGTCATTCTTGCCAGGACACTCTAAATACTGGTCATCAATGGCTGAAATCATTCTAACTTTGTCAACTTACTTTCTGGATAGGTAGCTTTTTGGATACTTGCTGCAGGGATAATTTTAGGACCCTGCATTCCAAACAAAGCTTCTTTTGAATTCTGAATTTTTGGTTCTCATTCCCCCTCGATTTCTTAAGCCTTTACCTTTGCCATTGTTTTTCACTGTTTTCTTTAGGTAAGAGCTGAGCAGATTCTATAATCTCTCTGTAATTCCATTCTGTTTTCTTTAGGTAAGAGATGAGCAGACATTAGCCAGTCTGCTTCAAAACTGGATATGCTGTTTGGTTATTAGCTTTGTAATATATACTTCTGGATTTGGGTTTTATCACCATTAAGTTATAGCTCTTTAAATAATTAAATGATGAAAATCCCTGGTTGACAGTGGAGTCAGGCACCACTGTTGATAAATTGAAAATCAGTGGGGGACAAGAAGGATTATAAAATGTCTGTCTGAGACAAATATTACAATAATATATTCTGTATGAAAGACATTGAAAATGTCAGCAACTTGGAACTGAAGCAAGAGTGACTGGTAATTTTTCAACAAATATAAAATATCTGTCCACTGTGTATAAGGCATTCTACTAGGGAAAACAGAGTTCATATTAAAATGAATAATTATCTAAGCTATTTGATCAAGATCAGTTTGCTGAGCAAAAAAAATAAGTCCGAAGTTTTTAAAAACTTACCTATTTCTTAAGAAAAAAAAAAAAGAAATGCTTATTTACAAAGGAAAAGGAAGTTTTTCCTTAGGGAAGAGGATTTATTTTCTTTTCCTAGGAAGCATTTCTGTTTCCTCTCGTTAGAAAACTTTTCTTAGCTAGTTTGGTTAAAGGAAAGGAGAGGGGAGGGGAGGGAAGGGGAGGGGAAGAAAAAAGAAAAGAAAGCCCTTTATTATATATCTTTCTCAAAATACAGCTATCATTTAAAAATGGTATTTTTTATTTTTTAAATATTTATCAAAATAATACCTTTTTTTTTTTTTTTACAAATTTCTAAGCTCAAAATAATTGTTATTCCATTCTATAAATAGTTTGAGGCAGTTTTCAGAGATGCTGCCCAAGGAAAAGAGCGGTTCCAGGAAAGGGGGGAAAGGGGGAGCTGCCTCCGGGAGTGACAGTTCTGACAAGAAGGCCCAGGGTCCCAAAGGTGGTGGTAATACAATAAAGGTTAGACACATTCTGTGTGAAAAACATGGGAAAATCATGGAAGCCATGGAAAAGTTAAAGTCTGGAATGAGATTCAATGAAGTGGCCACACAGTATAGTGAAGATAAAGCCAGGCAAGGGGGCGACTTGGGTTGGATGACCAGAGGTTCCATGATGGGACCATTTTAAGAAGCAGCATCTGCCTTGCCTGCAAGTGGGCCAGATAAGCCTGTGTTTACCGACCCTCCAATTAGGACAAAATTTGGATATCATATTATTATGGTTGAAGGGAGAAAATAAAATGGTATGAAAGACTAAAAAAAAAAAATAGTTTGAAACTGATTTTTTTTGGTAAGTTCTATAAAGTTTGTCTTAAGATCATTGCAGTATGACATTACATATGTAAACATCTTACATAAATATTGCTTGAGGTATTTTGTATTATTACATCGTTAATGTGTTTTCAAAATAATTAGGTGGCTGAATACTTTATTGGCATTTGGTTGTATCTTCTCAGGTGTTTTGTTCAAAAATGGAAATTACTGTTTGGCTAGTCAGCTCTAGGTATCTAGATCTTCTGTGTTGTCTTCCCTCTCCATAAAAGGCTAGTCTAGCTGTGCTCAACAAAATATTTGCTTCTCTATCCTTCCATAGATAGTTTCTACCTTTAGTTAACTTATTTGGGTGGAGTTATTAAAGGCTGCTTTTAAAATGCTGATTTTTTTTGAAGCACTCTTCTCTTGGAAGAGACCAAGAAAAGAGAGGTCCTAAGGATGAGCCATAACTCAGGAAATCTAGGTTTAAGTACAAGAAGGGTAAACCTTATTAGCCTGATGGGAGCCAAGGTTTAGGCACTATAGATATGGGAAGGGAGAGACCAGGATTCAAAGAAAACCACACAAGATAACTCAGCTTCCTTTAAGATTAGGCCTACGATTCACTCTGCTCCTTAACACTTATCATGTTATTATTTAATCATTACTCACTTAATATAGTATCATGCATTCAGTACTAACTGAAGAAACGTAAACCAATATTTTATTTTCCATGTTTATTCCACTATCTTTCTGGTGCAAAAGAACTCTACCCCTTATCATGAATTTAGTGACTGATTCATAAATCACTTAAAAATGAAACTTAGCTTTTTTTATTGAATATTTTTAGAGAATTAAATTTGCATCTTATTTTAAATAGTATTTTTGGGGATCCCTGGGTAGCTCAGCAGTTTAGCACCTGCCTTTGGCCCAGGGCGCAATCCTGGAGTCCTGGGATCAAGTCCCACGTTGGGCTCTCAGCATGGAGCCTGCTTCTCCCTCCTCCTGTGTCTCTGCCCCCCCCCTTCCTATGTCTGTCATAAATAAATAAATAAATAAATAAATAAATAAATAAATAAATAAATAAATAAAATCTAAAAAAAATAAAATAAATGATATTTTTATTTTTTTAATCGGGATTTTTTTTTTTTAATTTAAGGTTTTATTTTTCAGTAGTCTCTATACCCAGTGTGCTCTAACCCACAACCCGGAGATAAAGAGTTACATGCTCTACCAACTGAGCCAGCCTGGCACCCTGAAAGCAGTTTTTTAAAATACAAAGTTTATTTTCAGTATTGATGCAGTATGTATGCTTTCTATATTTTGGAGCAGGGAAAGGAGAAGAGGAATTTGGCTAGGTAGGAGGAAGGCTAAAATGCATCATAAATTTGTGAAGAAAAGGGTCTGAATACCACAGGAATCAACTGGGATATGGAGAAGATAGGTAGATAATTCAAATGTAGAGTCCTAAAAGCTAAAAGATCATTGAGTTTCACCACTTACCTGATAATAAACATATACATACTCCTCTGCCTTGAAATCCTTTCTAAATAACCGTGCCAAGTAGTTGTCCAGCTAGTACTTGAACATCCAATTTGGGGATTAACTACTCTTCAGAAAATGTGTTTCCATATAATGTATCACTCTATCAATTTCTTCCAATGAGGTGAAATCACTTCCTCTAAATTTCTCTTTATTTAGCTAGTTCTACCTTAGCTATAGTCACCACTGTCTTTGTGCAAATTAGAAATGGTGCCCCTACTAAAAGGAAAAAGCCATTTAGAGTTGTCTGTTTTTTTTTTTTTTTAAATGTTTATTTATTTATGATAGAGAGAGAGAGAGAGGCAGAGACACAGGCAGAGGGAGAAGCAGGCTCCATGCACCGGGAGCCCAACGTGGGATTCGATCCCGGGTCTCCAGGATCGCGCCCTGGGCCAAAGGCAGGCGCCAAACCGCTGCGCCACCCAGGGATCCCTAGAGTTGTCTGTTTTATATGAATTAGAAAAAGTTCACCTTTTTTTCAGGTGGACTCAACCCCCTCACATGGTTTATCAAGTGAAATGTAGTCTAGATGTCAGCCCTTCTCTTGCGACCCTCTCTTCTCCTCAGCTAGAGACCCATATGTAGTAAGATGTCTGATGCAGTCTGTATGTGGCAGTTCTGCTTAGGGTCATACAGAGGAAAACAAATTTTCATCCACAAGCAATTATGGATGAAAACCAAATATATGAAAACTGCTCTTATATCCTTCCAAATCATCTGAAGGCCAGACATCAACAATTCCTCTTACTGTTCTCATGTGATGTGATTTTAGATCCATAGTTCTTCTTTGAATAAACTGGTTTGACTACCTTCTGTTTAATGTCTAATATCCAAAGTTGACTACAGAGATACTCAGGTATGGGGGAACCAGTATAATCTGCAGTTGAACTATCAAATACATTGTTCCATAGCCTATACTTTATTACCAAAGCCCAAACTATTATTACCTTTTTTGGTTACTAGAGTATATTCTCAAATCATTGAAGCTGTAGTCTTCTAAAACCTGTGTATCTTTGTCTGTCTCTTGTGTGTGCATGTGATTGTAATTGTTAAGCTCTGTTTATCTTATCCTATATTTGTATAGTTGGTTTTTGTTTTGGGATTTTAAAGTTATCCATAGTAAATTTTTAAAAAATATTTTATTTATTTATTCATGAAAGACACAGAGAGAGGGGGAGGGGGAAGAGACATAGACAGAGGGAGGAGCAGGCTCCATGCAGGGAGCCTGATGTGGAACTCGATCCCAGGACTCCAGGATCATGCCCTGAGTGGAAGGCAGATGCTTAACTGCTGAGCCACCCAGGCATCTATCCTGTAAATTTAAGATTTGTTTCACAGCTAATCTATTGAGGTCTTTTTATATCAAAATTTAGTATCAACTGCAGATTTGTAATCATGCTTTTTACATATTTAACAGGGTTACTAGCAAAACATTGAACAAAACCTTATATCCATATCATGAGATAGAGTAAATCAGTGGTTCTCAAAACCTGATCCTCAGATGAGGACCTGGGAACTTATTAGAAATGTGAATTCTTGGGTCTCATCTGCTGAATTGGGAACTCTGGGCACCAGACACCCAAGGTGATTTTGATGCACAGTAAAGTTTGAGTACCACATTATATGGACTTTCCCTTTGTATTGACTTAGATCCATTATTCAGAATTTTATGGGTAAAATT